GGGCATGAACCAACTGGTTCATGGCTGAACAGTATAAACAGATTAATATCAATGAACTGATTATTGATCAAATGAACTGATTGGTAACAATAGTCATGAACTGATTAGTGACAATAGAACCAAAATCACAGACACAACTTGTGACTGATAACAACATCTCACACTGTAGTGCATGCAGACAGATGTGAGCTTAAACAGAGTTCCATGCAAAACAACAATATTCATTCTGTTAGAGCACTAAGGACAGAATGTGTCATGGAACGAGCCGTCACATCACGTAGGTAAAAGCGAATAAATGAGCAGGGTGTTGACCATGCAGCCGCAGTGCAAATGTCCTGCATTGACATACCATTATGCAAGGCAGTCGAAGATGCGATACCCCTGGTCGAGTGTGCTTTGAGGTTGACAGGAGGCTCTAGATCTGATGCTCTGTAGGCTTCAGAAATGGCCTCACACAGCCAGTGTGACAGGCGCTGGGTGGATAACGGGCGACCTGCAGATGCATCTCTATAATGCACAAACAATTGTTGAGTTTGACGCATTACAGCTGTGCGCGCTATGTAACATGTCAACGCCCGCACCGGACAGAGAAGATGAAAAGATGCTTCTTCTTCTGATCTGTGGGGGGGAGGGAAAAATCCCTCCAACGATATCGCTCTTGATTTAAAAGAGCTCGTGATGTTTTTAGGCATAAAAGCTGGGTTTGGTCTTAAATCAGCTGAACTACCATCAGCCTGGATTCTGAGACATGACGGAGCGGCAGAGAGGGCAGATAAATCACTCACCCTCTTAGCGGATGTTAAAGCCAACAACAGGGCTGTTTTAAGAGACAAGAATTTAAGTGAAACCTGATCCAAAGGCTCAAATGGGGCTTTGATCAGGGCTCGCAGGACCAGCGTTAAATCCCACTGTGGAACAAATGGGCGTGAAACAGGCCTACGTCTTTGTACACCTTTTAGAAACCGCTTCATCAGCGGGTGATTAAAAGCTGTTCTGTCTCCGAACCCTTCGTGACAGGAAGAGATGGCTGCAGCGTACGTTTTAATCGTGCTGAATGCCAACTTCCTATCCATCAGCTGTTGTAGAAAAGACAACACGCCGCCTAATGGGCATGAGGTGGCCTCTAAACCTTTCTCTGTACACCAGTGCTGAAAAGCCGTCCACTTTGATGTGTACAGAGCTGTGGTAGATGCAGCACATGAATCTTGAATTGTGCGCACTACCTCCTGAGGGAGACCCATCCTCTCTAAGCGGGACCGCTCAGCGGCCAGACCCACAGGTGCTGAACTATTTCTGGGTAACTCCTGATCGCTCCTCCTGCTTGAAGGAGAGCATCCTCCCTCCACGGCAGTTTCCACGGACGACCCGACAACAGACGTTGTAGGACTGGGAACCATGGTGCATTCACACGCTCGGGAGCTACCAGGAGAGCTGTCAATCCCTCCTCCTGAACTCGGTTCAGGAACCGTAAAATCAGAGGAGGTGGGGGAAACGCGTACAGAAGCGTTTTGGGCCACGGGCTGTGAGCAAATGCATCCACCCCCAGCGGTGGATCGTCTCGCGGGCTCAGGGAAAACCATA